TAAATTATGCAATACTAGTATATAGGTAATAGGTACATGTGACGAGATAGCTGATGCTAGAACACCCGAGGTTTAACGTAGCATAAACAGATACGATTTACTAAAGTCCTTTTCTTAAATTGGCATTATCGACAATCTAATCCGGACGTTATTGCCCGTGGGAGGTATTCGATTTCGAACGGGAAAAAAATAAATACTATTTTTTTTAGTTAACACTACTTTTATGAAACATCTTTTTTACATAACAACCTTGACACTTAATTTTAAGCTACTCTAGCACCGTAAACAGGGGGAAAGGAATTGTTAGTAATGCAGACTACTCATTGCTAGACCCTATCAGGTCGATCGGTGGTCGCCCTGGAAATCATCGTGCTGAATTCCAGGGATATTCATCACGGTGAGCTGACTAACTTGCTTTTTCATTTTCACATATCAACCCTCATTGATGCCTCAACAGCATATACTGTTAGAGCAGGCAGGATTACCTCTCCATTAACATCCATGGAAAAACAAATAACGTTAATAAAGGTTATGCGTTAATAGTACCAATACCCGGTATTATTTGTATATGCTTATAGGAACCATAAATTTATTATTTTATTATTATATATTTAATTTATTATAAATTAATTATTTTACATTCCTTAACGAATTCCAAAAGTAGGTTTTGTAATGTTTAATAGAACAATTTTTTTAAATATTTATTCTAATCTCATCATCATCTTCCCACCCCTATCCCAATTATTATTTGGGGTCGGCATAATATGGTTTTATCCGTGCAAAGCTGGATCGGATAGCTAGTGATATAATATGTATTTATCAGATGACAACGGTAGTCCGATTAATATAAATGAGTAAAATATTTTTCAAATTTAGATGCAATATAAAACAGGTCGTTTGAGAAAACAATTTCGTATTATGTCACGCCAAAGAGATAATTCTAAACATCGTTACGGCTTGGTTTGGAGTTTGTATTAATTAAATCTGTCAACCTTATCTAAAGAGACTCTTCCGACAAACATAAAATTCAAAACTTTCTTCCCTATTTGAACACTTCTACTTATCAGCCATCTGAATACGGCGAAAGTTATTCTCGTCGTTAGAAATAGCTCTTAATAATAATTTAAATGGCCAATATTCGGTTTCACGTAATTTGCAAAATACGAGTAGAATGAATTTGTATTTTTAATAACTATGCTACGCCGCCAAGCTAAGATACGTTGTCAATTCTGAACTGATTTAAATTACTCTTTTTGCAGTTAGTAGTGTTTACTCATGTATTGGTTCCAGATGAAGCTATCAATATACTCTGTGGAGAAAGAAACCTCTTATTTCGAAAGCCTCCTGTACCTATGTACTTGTAAATATATATTTATTTGTTCTATATTAAAACATTTTGATTTTATTACTATGATATAATACGAATCGTTTCTTTGTTCATTGGTATTCTTTGCTACGATTAAAGACGCTATCTTAATCTTCTTGTTATCATTCTAAACACTATAGATTTAAAAATTAATATTGGAAGTTGTTTATTTTGGGATATACTTAACTACATACATTTTAGAGTAAATATCTTAAAGAATGTTATCTTTAGGTAAAATGGGTAAGATAGGGTTTACCAGGTGGGTGTGTATAATCGTATTGAGGTCGACCCCGGCGTGCCTTGTCGTTCTCGCGCTTGAGCACCCCCAGATATTTGAAAGGATGGGAGGGCGCACTGGTAACAATATCCGGCTCTAATCCTCTATAGCACTTTGTATACGTTGCGGACATAAGATTCAATGTTTACAATATAATCGCAAACGCAATAGATATGCGTTTATTACGAAATTATTATTAGTAGATAGGAGTATGACTCATTAAGAAAGTTTCTTTTATGATTTTTTTAAAAACAAGGACTAATTCGCTGTTTTTATTTTAGTTATTTTTTTCACGTACTTATTCACTTTAACTATGAAACATTAGGAAATTCCAAAAATATATACTTATATAAACTCTTTTTTTATATTATATATATTTCTGTTACATTTAGATTTAGCACTGTAACGTAAGTTATTATAATATTAAAAATGTGTATATGCGGTGTATATAGTATCAGTATTTATATCCAATAAAGTCATTGCATCCAATTTTAATCTATGAAGATTTAGTAAACTACAGAAGAGTTCCGCTCAATTCTAAGGTTGTTTGGAAGAGATCGATATTTAGCGATAAATTCGTACATTTCTGCCTCTTTTACCCCCTCCCCATTCCTCTAATCTTCTTGTAATACTACTTTTTTATCTATATATTTGTGTAATAATAGATATATTTCTTTGATATTGACAATATTCTATATATATTTATACCTATATTTTCAGTCATTCATGAATGAATTCATGTACAGTTTTTATAGATAGATGCCTTAAAAAATATAAAAGATAGGTATTTTATATTAAGAGAAATAAGAATAATTGTCCAATTTAACACTAAAAAGACAGAAAAACCGCAAAAAAGACGCCGTTTGTCGTATCTCCTCACTTTCAGGGCACTTCCCTTAATAAAAAGTCGAGACTAGGAGTTCTGGGCGATATGATATATCTTGCGACGTCTAGTTTTGCAGTTATCTGGAGAAGAAGGCTAAGATAGCTTCCAAAAAGTAAGGAGTGCTCAATAGGGTGAGACGGTATTTCATGCCGGAACACCGCCTGAAATTATATAAAGCTCAAGTCAGGCCGCATATGGAATACTGTTCTCACCTGTGGGCAGGACGACCGCATTCAAAGTCGGGCGGCTCGAATTATCGATAGTCAACGCCTTACTGTGCGACTTGACCTACTGAAACTGCACAGAGATGTTGCATCTCTGTGCACCTTTTACCGAATTTATCATGGGGAGTGTTCTGATGAATTGTTCGGATTGATATCTGCTGCTGATTTTCACCACCGTACAACCCGCCACAAACTAAAGTTTCATCCCAATAATCTGGACGAGCGGCGGTATTCCACCGTGCGTTTTTCAAAGCACTTTCTTCTACGCACAACCATTCTTTGGAATCAACTTCCAGCATCAGTTTTTCCGAACCAAAACGACAACATAACCTTTAAGAAAAAAGTCCTTTAAGAAAAAAAATCCCTTTTAAAAGGCCAGCAGCACACCTGCAATGCCGCTGATGTTTTGGGTCATATGCGGCGATGATCATGGGCGGCGGTAGTCACTTACCATCAGGTGAGCCGCATGCTCGTGTGTTGTAAAAAAAAATAAAAAATAAAAAGTACCTTGTATTTATTTTTACTTTATTTTTTAATCGTAGATAGATAGATACTTTTTATTGTTTCCTCCAAAAGATTACAATAGTAAACTTATTATAATATATATATTATATATTGTATACTAAAAAAACTGTATTTCAAGTTTAATAAAAAGCATTTATTTGTAACTATAGACTTACTATTGTATTCACTGTTTTGTTGAAAAATATTTTATGTCTATTAGACATTACATGAAACATAATGGCCGAAACAACTTTTAGGTGGAGGACCAGATGTTATGCTTAAATTTAGGGAGAATAATATTAAATTGCGAAATAGGTATATATAATATTTGAATAACTTTTAAGGTTCTCAATTCCCTTGTACTTTTGATTAGCATGTTTTTGTATTATATGGTATTAATTCTGAACGTTATAAAAATATCCAGAATTATGTAATATCATATAACGCGGACCGTATAGTACTTAGTAGAAAGATTTTTTTAAATTGGTTAAATATAAGCTTTTGAGTTTATTCATTACAAACAAACAATCATATCATCTTCTTTATATTAGTAAATGGAGATAAATAAATCATACTTTAGTTAATATTTATTTATTATTAAATAAATTCATAGCTCTTAAAAAAACAACTTACATTTTAATTCTCTTACAAATACAACAAATAACGGATTTTAATTATAATAATTATAATTCTACAGCAAGGTAGGCAAGTTAGAGTGGGTGTATGCAAGTAATATAAGTGCATGTATGAAAGAAACTATATGTAACATTGAGTGTCCATAAATTCAGGTTAATTAATATACAAAATAAATAAAATCCATGTTGATACAGTTCAGATTTATATTTTATTATTTATAATATTTCGTCATTAAGATGCACCGATCAAGCTTTGCAGAAAGCATCAATCTAGGTCTACTTAATAGTAAGTTATAGAAATATAAGCAGTGTATTATGTATGTGTAGTGCACGCTGGAATTTATATTTCTGTTTGTTTATATTTCTAAGGTAATAAACCTTCTCTTGGTTTTCAAAATCTTGTACATGAATAAAATATATCTATAGGATTTACTTGAAAACATCCTCGTTTCTTATCTTTAAAATAGACTAAAATTAACCTATACAGACTATTTCATCATCATTATTATTCATCCTATCCATCATTTACTGCTGAATATATAAGATTCCATATTTCGCCACAAAATAAAATCTTTTTCCGAGCAACCCGTATCATTTTATCTGCGTCATGTAACATTTTAGACGTGGTCTTTGCATTTCACTTTGCTAAGTTTTACTGAGTTTGCTTGTGCGAAGTAGTCACTCTTAATCAATAACCTTTTTCTCCCGCCAATTATTATCGAATTTTTTAGTAACTAGAAATAGTAACCCCATTGTTAGTAATATACCCTATCAGGTCGATCTCTACGCGGTTCTCCTGGGAACTATCGTGATTCCTGACGTCACGATAGATCGTGACCTGATATCATCTTTACCTATTCATTGATACCCCGCCAGCGTATACCAATAATCCAGGCCGGATTACCATTCTATTTTCATTCATAATAATAGACAAAAAATATTCTGTGGTTATCCTTATTTCGGATTATATGATTCGACTTGGTGTTGAGTAACATGGACCATGTCCAATGTTGTATCTGCTCTTTCTCTTTATTTTGTATAATTACGTATCGCTGAACTGAAAACGTATCATGACATATATAAATATTATTAATTTGTATTGTTTCAGGTAAACATGAGGATAAAACAAGGGGTTGATAATGGCAATATTACTACTGTATTTCGAAATGAACATTTGCTACAAAGAAATACCGATAACAGAAGCTGGATTGTATCAAGCGATAATAATATAGAGACCAACAGCACGTACAGAAATATAAATAAAAAACAAAATTTTAAAGATAATTCAAATACTAATTATAACATTTCATACGAAAGTGACAACATATTAGAAAATACCACCATAACCGCAACACCTAGCAGTTATCAACTAGAAAGAACCATAGATGTTGAGCTGGCAGTCTGCAATAGACAATATAGAATAAACGCTCAGAAAAACATAAACGTTCGAAAGTTGTGCAGTAAGGAGAAAACAGACAATCTGGAGGGACCTAAGGCAAAATCGACTGAATGCTTTTTAGGTGTGCTCATATTAATTTTAATGTAATGAATGATGAGTGACGTGTACAGCATGCTATATGTAGTGATGCCGATATCAATTTGTTCATATCTACAGGCGATATTTACCTATATATACCTTTTGCAACGGAATCTCAGAATATATAGCATATCCTGTAGTATATAAAAAATATACAATAATATCTCTTCCAATAATATTCCTTTAGCTTGGACTCGCAACTGTATTTTGTATTCGTAATGACAGCATCATTAATTTGAAGCCGTATGTGCAAGTTGGTGGTTATTTCAAAAATATATAATATTATTCAATGTGTGTTTTTCATATGACTTAATAGTTTCTAGCTACAGGTTCCTTTGGCATGTATTTTGTATCACTTTATTGAAGTAAAAGCTGCATAGCTCATATAAGTATTACTTGAAAATAGCAACTCTGAAATTTCTATTAAAATTAAGTAATTACCCTTTACATGAACAACAAAGCATATTAAAATAATATAATTCGTTTACAATATTTGCTCGGTTTATTCGCCGTAACGGTAGCAGTTGACTAATGTCTATGACTACCCCATATTGGATTATAGGCAAATAATAAGTAAATAGATACGAGTCTATTTACTAATTAATTTGCTTACCTATAATTTTTTTTTTTTTTTGGATTAAATTCATATTATGAAGAAAAACGTTTGTACTTGCATATGTAGAAACGATTATATTGTGCGGAGATCGAATCTGCGACCATTGGAAGATTAAATAGTGTGTTAAATTGCTGCAAACAAGTCGTGTTTTTTTTTTATAACAGACATTATTTCTACTATTTTAAATGTACATTTTTATTTTTTTAAGGAGATCCCGATGCATATTCAAACACAACTCCCCTTGATGAAGAACGAGCATTTGATCACTCAGATACGGATGAAATGTCTGAAAACGGTATCCAAACATTGTCTAGGGGAATAGTTAATCCAAATTATCCTGGGTTTCAACATTTAGCACACACTTTACAGGTAACATTTTATTTATTATAGAGAAACCTTGAATGTGTAAAGTAGAAACATGAAAGAAGCCGTATAAAGTAATAGGCAAACTTATAATATCTGTTTACATATAAACTGATATTGCCTTTACTATTGTATTCTATTGTAATGGCCGAGATAATGATGATAAATATTGTAAATGTAAAAAAGGCTATTTATTAATCCGGTAAATCAATGTATATTGATCATACAGTCAAAGATGCCTATGGACATTAATAAGAAAAAAAAAATGATGTTTTTTATAAGGTATTTCTCAAAACTTTTACGAGAATTAAGTATAATAATTTAAATTAAAAATATTTGCAGGATTATTCATCAAATATAGAAAATTTTTATCAATCTGAAAATGATATGACTGATGATGATATAGATGTTGAAATCACGGAATTAAGTTATGAAACCGAATGTGATCAAAACTCAACATTAGCAGAATATAAGAATATCAACAATAATAACAATAATGTTGACATAAAGGATTCTAAGTTTTCTTTATCTAAAAAGAATTCTACGATAGAAAGCAAAAGAATAGATTGCCATATAAATAATGATATTCCTGATCTCTTAAAAACTATCTCTTCAAATAATAATAACATAAATTCAAATAGTTGCGATTCCAACTATTCAGATACTGATATAGAGAATAATTTTCATACCAAGGATATTATAGGAGATTTTAACAAGGAAATTGAAGATGAAATAAAACAATTACTAAATTATAATATTAATATTCAAGACGACCTTGAGGAGTTAAGAAAAGATATAAAGGAAACCTTTGCTAAGCCTATTGAAACTACAATTAACAATATTAGTGACGTTGTTAATCATGTTATAAAAAAATTAGTAGAAACACAAACTGATGTATGTGACCAATGTGACGATAAACAGAGTAATAAAGAAAATAATGCTAGTAATGAAAAAGTAATAGAAATTTGTAATGTTAACAAAGAAAATGAAAAAAATACAAGAACAGAAATGAACTTAAGTAGGCCTACCTTTTTATTATTAGATAGTAGTAGTAATACGACAATTGCGGACGCTTTTCTATCTGACGGTAAAGATGAAATTAATATTTACGATAGTGAATATGATACAGAAAGATTGAGTACCAATGTCGAGAATACTATTAAACAGCTCAGTACTGAATTACGAAAAATAATTCCAAAACTGGATGAAATGCGTGAACGCGATAAGTTATGGGCTACCTGTAAAAAAGATACAGTTGTTACGGATGGTAATTCAAATGAGATAGCTAGTTCTTCAAAGTGTTTTGATTATCCTTTTATTGCAGACAATAGTAGAAAGAAATCACCTAAAGATGTTAATACTATTACAAATAATTCTGTTAAGGCTACAATGTAAGTACGATTTTATTATATTATTGATTTTATTTCATTCATTTACCACAGGACGTTATGGAGAGAAAAGAGAGGTCTATAATTAGTATTAATATTTTATCTATGTTAGGCCTTAAGGCTAAGCCAATGAGATAGATTTTTAAAGTGAACAAAATATTTTTGATTCTCAAAATGACAATACGATTTTAACATGAATTTCGTTGAATTCTTTTATATTTACAGTGCAATTATTATGGTTGTATATCGCTTTCTATTTACTCGATAGCTTTAAGTACCTATTAGTTAGCTATATTTAAGTAGGTAGATTAAGAGATCTGTACTTAGCAGATTATCCAATACCCTGAATACATCAGTACGTAGTATGTCTTACTACGTCTATAATACGTACTTAACTAAAATGTATGAGTAGGTACATTACATCCAGCGTTTTTAAAATAGATGATGACGTGGGCAATGTAACTCTGTCAAATTCAGTAGGAAAGCAAGTACTAATTTTTTTTACCAAGTATTCCATCTTCTTAAATTCACTAGCATGTATCCGAGACATGTGAACATATTGTAATCATCGAGCGGCATTAGTCATCGAAATAGGCGTGGTAGTTTATTTGTTGATGTTTTAGAGGTATAAAAACTTAAATTCATAACATCAATTATGCAATCCTACTTCAGTGAACCGAGAACAGCGAAAGAACGCCAAAAAGAAACAATTTATAGCAAAAATAATTGTTTACGAAGCGCTCAAAGTACCAGCACATCCGTCCGTAATAAAAACAACAGTGATAGAGACTGTGATTTAGGTAAGTGTTTTAAACCAAATCTTATATATATATATATTTAGGTGTTTACCTTCAAAATTGATAACATTTTATTAAAAACAGTTTCATTTTAATTTTGTTAATTTATTTGAATATTTATTATTTATTTATTTGAATCAGCATGTGAACAAAATGAATACATTTTTCATTAAATTATTTTAAGTAAGTATTTACCCAGATACATATACTTAATAATAATTTATAACCTCTATTACTCTTTAATTTTCATATTTTTATTTACATTATTATATTTAAATATGTACCTACTGTATTACGTTATTGTTACAATTTCATTGAATCTGTGCTTGATAGTTCGATGTGGAAATTGTGTACCAACCACATTTGATAAATGTGTAAAATATTATTAAAACAATAACTGTCTTTTTAAACATGTTATCTTCATGTTGTATACATACAGACATAAAATTGAATCCTTTGTACTCTGTATAAATATTTAGATGTACATATATACACGGTGGAAAAGTTACGAATATAACGAAATATATTATTATTCAGATTTTACAATGTTTAAAAACTTAAATAAATAAATTAAATAAATTGAGTAAATTTTACCATAATCTCAATTAGTAAACAAAATATTTCAGGAAGCTTCGATGTTTACAATATAGAAACAGCGCTACCAAAATTAGATTTGGATGCAATAGAAAACCACATAAAGGCAGCAAAGGAAGCAGAGAGGCGGGTCAGTAGCTACTTTTTTTATGTAAACGTTATTATGGGAATATATATATTATATATTCCCATGTAATTCCCACATTGTGCTTTAAAATTCATAATAATTAAGGCCCTATGAGTAAGTATCTATTTATTTTGAATTTCCGCGCGGTAAACAAGGTAACGGTACCTCTGCATTAGATCCACGTCTACCGCAACCATGTGTAACAGTTAATTATTATTGATAGTAGTTGGTTCAGCTTTCTACAGTGATTTAACGGTGCAAACAGACAGCCAGTCTCTACGTATCGGTTTAATCGACAACACGTTACGACAAGTGAATACTGTGAACCGTAAAATTTTAATATTGTGTGATTAGTGTTGTAAGTGATGGCGTCGTTGCCATATTTTAATACAGAACAAAGACATTATAAAAAGGATACGAGATTTCTATTAGATTTGTACACAATTACCTACGATAATCATGAATCTGTCGATAATATATGTTGTCTTGTAAGTTTCAAACTTTTTTTTTTTAAACTTAGAAACTTTACCTAAATAAAAACAGGCAAAAAGAAAAAATATATAGAAAACGGAACACACTCAGTACACTTGACCTTGCCCTATATGTCAAATTGACAGGCATCATTAGATTAGAGATTTATTTTGTGACAGCTAACTTCTGTAATGATTGTTTTTATTTCTTTACTTATTTTATTTTTTTGTTAATTTAAATAGAAATTTGTGCCATATTTTTGCCAAAAAACAGAAGACTGAATAATTTTAACATGTTTGAGAGTATAGTGAATAATATTAAACGAAAGTTTAGCAAAACTTCCCTAGGAAATAATGATATTGATAACAAAGAATCGCCAGAAAAAGTGGGCTTTAGAAAAAGTTTACAAGTGTTGTTTAAGTCAAATCTGTTAAAACCAGAGTCAGTACAGCCTCCAGTAAATGTTTATGATAATATTGCTTTAAGTCCAAGAGCTACAGGGATAGCAGAGTGTGCTGAGACAGAAATTGAGTGGCCTAGCCTCACAGACAACAATCCAAATATTTTAGATAGATTTACTAGAATAATCAATGTATCAGAAAACCCACCTTTCGATCTTAAAGTATGGTTGTTTAATCTATTGTCAATAGTAATGGTTACTGTATAAGGTAACTGACTTATTAGTGTTTTTATGTTTAGAAACGCAATGACAGAGAAGAAATAAGAAGAAGATTAGCTATGGGAGCTGATACAGAAGAATACTACAGCTTAGGCCATGTAGACCGCCCTGGTAAAAAACCGAGTTTACATTCTCGACTGCAAAATGGTAGGTTGAATTTTGGTTCTATATTTAATGTATTATTATTATGTGGTATAGATATAAATATAGATGTGATTTTTATTAGATTAAGATATTAAAATTATGAAGTCTGATTACTTACTGTTGTACTTTGACATAATGGGCTCTTATTTACTTTTCCCAGCCATATTCTATCATATATTTTCTCACTTAACCAATGTATACATATCTTTTTGGGCATCACAGACAAGCATTTTACATATTTTAATTTTATTGCCCTGTATTAATATTATTAAAAAGTCAGTATGTATATCAATGTAAATAATTTATATTTACATTCAGTATTTTTAATTCTTTTTCCCCCCAATACTTTTCTTTTTACTCTTATACTGATTATTCTCCTATTGATCCTGTAATAAAAATGGTTATAAATGGTAGGTAGATATAAATAATATGTAATTCCTTTCCATTGATCATTAAATAATTGGATATTTACTTGTCTTACAGAAATGTGTTTTAATAAGTGCTAAAGGTGTAACTAAAAGAATGCTAATTACATGAGAGATTCAATTTACTAAATGTATTTGCATTTAAATTGCATCTTAAATTAAACCTTGATGTACTTCTTCATATATTATGTATAAAATTTGCATTAAATTTCAACAATAATAGTTTGCATACAAAAATTGTGTAAATACATTAAAAAGGCATTAAGTACAGTACTTAATATATTTCACAACTATCTTTGTTACCACTATGAGTATATTAGAAACTTAATGATGTTTTGTTAACTAACTATGGTGTTTTTAGTTAATTAAGAAATCAACTTTCATTTGTTACAATAATAAAGATTCATTATCTTGGGTTTGTGGCTCCAATAATTACTCATTATCATTTCATATGTTCTAATATGTTTATACATTCACATAAATGCATGGCAAGGAAAGTATTGGCAGTTAACCATCAATAAGGGATGTTTATAAAATAGAATTTTTTTCTAATTTACCTATCTCTTTTTCTCAGAGTAGCTTTTCTCTGTAACTTCAGATGTAAATTTTGGAAATACGAAAACATACATGAACAGAATTGTGAGAACCGCATCCAATTTGGTGCAGTAACTTTTACATGATGCAATTGGAACAAACAAATCACACAAACACAAATTTCTAAAAAAATATTATTTTGGTTTCTATTGCTTTTATAAAGGCACCTTATATATTTTTTTCTTAAATATCTCCTGTGTACATTCACCATCTAGTTACAATTTTATTATATCGTCATAGTCATAGAATACTGACAGATATATATATTTAATCAAGTCAGAGTATATTTAATTAAGTCAGATCTGTCAGTATTCTATGACTATGATGATATGTAGTTCTGTCTTTATTGTTGACATAATTTTTACATCAGTATATTGAAAATTGATGTTAAAACAAACTACTTTTCACTTACTTACGTTGGTTTCATTTATACATTTTAAATTCAGAATTAGAATGTTTTATATGAATCCTGTTTTATATATGTCAGTTAGGAGATATTCATAGTTAATTGCCAATATGTAGTTGCAATCATTGTCCATTGTCTGTTATTGTGATTAATTCCTTGTTGTGTTGTGATGTGGTTGTGCAGGGATGAATCTACAAATTTGTTTCATGAACGAGACAGCATCTGACAATGAGTCTCAGGCTTCTGATGCAGAGAAAAACTTGAATAATAAAAGTTTATCCCAATCAAGCATTTTCAGCAAGTCAAACTATAATCACCCATATCAGACAAGACCATTGTCTGTCAATATAACAAAACATGACAAAATAAGCACTGTTCAAAGTGGTGAGTCATTAATTGTCTATGCAATAAAATCCTTGAAAGTGTAAAATTGATTACACTTACAAAGACTGGAAATTACTATTTCATCCTCCATTTATCATGGGTTTGGTCTTTGTAAGATTTTTTATTGTATTTGTATCACAGATGGTGAAGGCAATATCTTAGCCATTAACTCATTATATATTAATATGGAAGATTATAATAAATAGTTACATTAAAACTTTTTACAGGTGCAAAATTGCGTCCAACATCATTATCAAGTAAACCTAAAACTCGGTCATCACAATCTATGACCCACATTGAACTCAAAGAATCTGACTTCTATGCTTTACAAGCTACATTACAAACAGAAGCGAGGATAGCACTGGCTCAAGCAAAAGAAATGGCTCGTCTACAGATGGAGGTAATTGCCTTTTCTATTTTCAATTTCTTGAATACATGTGTGTTATTTCTTTTTGCTATTTTTGTTATTTTTTTATTAGGTATGTAAATTGTTACTATTTTCATACTAGAAATCTCAACTAATTATATCTTCAGACCTTCCTAATTCAGTAACTCATTAACATTGATGCTCCTTTCTACTTTTGGTTTGTTGGAAAAGAACTCTTGTATACTTAAGCTCGCCTTTGTACATTTGCTTACCTCTGTCATATTTTTTATGTATTATTAGTGTTAATTATTATGAATATTTTGTATAAATACACCTGAGGATGAAATTTTCAAATCGGTCACGTGTGTCGATTATAAGAACAGTTTGCATTATGTACAGTGGAACAAAGTACAAGTATTTTCAATATCATGTAGTTTTATTAAGATCTATCCAGGATTTCACAACACAAAAACTGAATTATATATTTATATTTAATACAACAATGGATTTGTTCCACAGCGCGAGCGCCGCAGTCGCGCCGTGTCGCCTGTGACGGAGATGTTGCGCCGCAGCATGGAGAAAGCTAACGCACCACTCGCCGCCGACAGACGTCGCGTTTCTCGACAGTTGCTCACGGATATGAATATTGCGCAGTTGCAGGTGATAACAATTTTTCATTTATATAAAGCAAAAGAAACAATGAATTCACACTAAACTGTTATCCCCAGTTTTCGCAACGCCATTATCGAATTTCGTCATCATATGCATGATAACAAAACGAATGTGTTACAAAATAGACAGTCTCAATGGTGCCATAATTCTATTACAATTTATACATTAGGAACAATAAACTTACTACTGCAGAACATTGATGAGAAACCTGAGGAAAGATGGAAGCCGTAGTCCACTATGCTTGTTTTATTATTATCGTATTATGATATCTACAGTCATGCACAGATGCCATTCGAGGACCTTTCTTTCTAGCCGATTATCGGTTTCTCAATTTATTTGTTTATCCATTCATCAAATGCGCAGCGCTATTGTAAAATCAAACAAGATTATCATTTTACGATCAGCTTTGTTTTAGCAATTAATATGAAATATAACTCGGTTAATAAAGGCTTTAAACAAACGTAGGCGTCGCTGTTCACTGCAACACGCGTGACCTTGTAGTTGCAATTCCGAGTTGACTAAGCTGACTCATAACTAAAGATTTATACAATGGATTCAGATCTTCAGATCTATTGTGCAATAAGTTTTTGTAGGAACGTCATTCAAGCTTGATTGCATTTAAAATAATTTTGTATGTACATTCAGATGCAGATATTTCAATATGCAGATTCATTAGCATCACTATTGGGAAATATAATGGGTATTTCTAAAAAGGATTTTACTTATTAATTTGATGCCCAGATCAGATGATCTGGGATATTGGTATTCAGGTGGATACCAATATCTCTTCATTACAAGAGACTACTACAGTCTACTAGCTTATAAAATATTAAGTAATATTTTTCAGTTGGTATTGTTGAATTAATTAATTTGGTTGCAAAAAAATCAACTTGTGATTCAGATATAATTATTACAATGACTGGTGACGTGTGAGAATATCTAAATAAGTTAGTCTTAACAAATAAGTAATAATAATAAATGCTATACAATCACATCAATCAAATCCTATCAAGCTAAGATTGTCCTAGGAACTAGAACCATTTCGAAGAATATTGAAACCCAAGCCTTTTATAAAAGGAATGATAGTTTCTAAAATTGACTGTGAAATCAATCATAATTTATTAACGCACCGTGAATATCGACAAAATAAAATTAAACCGAGTATAACTCGAATATTTTGAGCACCGAGTGTTCCATGCATCAAATAATTCCTTCAAAGTTTTTTAAAGTGAATTGAGTAGGTTCATCTATGCATATATAATATATACCGTATAGTTATAATTTTAATAAAAAGTATCCTAATCCAGAATATGGTTTCTCAGTGTACCAAATTCTATTCATATTCATTCGGCCATTTAAATGTAACATCTTATCAAATTTACATATTTTAAATATTTATTTGGGAATTGTTAATAAAACACAAAGTAATTGTGTATCTTACCACATGAAACGAACATACCAAATCTATTACATATTTCAGGTTATAGTAAATGAGCTGCATTCCCAAATTGAGTCCTTAAATGATAGTTTGGTTAAATTACTAATGGCGCGTGACGAGTTGCACATGGGACAGGACTCCATGCTTGTTGATATAGAAGATCTCACCAGATATTTGTAAGTGTACTAATAATTGTATTACTTTATACTGAATTATATGTAAATCAATCGTACTGTAAAAAAAGGGCACAGTGTTTACACCTATATCTTACTTACCTTTATGTTATTTAAGGTATTTGTCTTTAACCTTTTAATCGCTTTTAGAATTTTATAATTTTAAATTTAGAACAATAATAATCACATCAATTCAAATTGTAATTACATCAATAAAATTCAGCATTAAAAATTACATATATTTTAAGAATTTTTCAACATTATAGAAGACCTTCACAATAAGGCAGTCTTGCAGTTTCTTTTTAAATAAATTTAGACTGCTTGCAGCTGTTAGATATATATACGAAATACTCATTACCTTTTTTTTTTCAATTATAGAGGCGTAAAGGAGCAGACAAAAAAGACCAAAGGTACTACTAAATCCGGTGTGCGGAGGCTCACTTCGTTAGTGCACAAATAGGCACTTAATACATTTTAATATTAGACTTTTAATGGCAACTTATATACTATTTAGGAAATTATGGTTGCTATAATTTTTAAGCTATATATAGTGCGACGAAAGATAGTTATCGTGTTCACTAAAACAGTTGGCCCACTGATGTAAGTGTAAAGTAATTGAATGTTAACTCTTGTTCAAAATAATATAAGGTCTAAAATCTATTGGCCATAAGTTAGATTTAATGGCCGAGAACTTGCACCGTCTCTCCTCGCACTGTAAATTGTTTTGAAATCCTATTATCGCTAAAAGTATATACATCAAAAATAAGTGAGGTTATATATTAAAATCACTACGCGTATACTGAATATTTTTCTTGATTAACTTGGTTGATAAAACTATATTATTTAAAATTCGTATGTTATTTAAAATATATCAGGATATTAAAGTTTTATACTATTGGTAGACAATGTTCAATAGCTTGTATTGGAGCGGAGTAACACCAATGAAATTACCCAGATGCATAGAGGACCAATTTCTTTTCTCTGAAAATTATCTCTCCCTCTGACAATGTCAGTCAACATGTTTTTAAAATTTACGATTGTACATTTTATAATACCTATCCTTTAATTATTATGTAACCTCAATAAAATGTTATAAGTATCTAAATGGAGTTGTAAGTTTCACATCTTAAATTTCAGGTTATATAATAATCGAGGCAGGATGTTTTTCAAAATATAACTTAAATAGCTATGATGTAAACAGCCCTTAATATTATAAACTGTTTTGGTCTCAATGTTATATTGTAATTACCTAATTAATGACGTTTATACAACGTATAATGGATTCTGTACATCTAGTGCAATATATTGATTTGTATTTATGTAAACTTTCTCTTTAGTTTCAAGTTTAAATTTAGTTGAAGTTACTATTTTAACATTGACGACCTTGTTGGTGTAGTGGTTTAACATATCTCCTTATTTTCTAAAGATGTCGGGATTGATTCCCACACAATACATAAAAATTTAAAAATACATAAAAATTATTGTTTGTGAGTATGTTTGTTTGTATTGGTGTTTTATAAGTATTTAAAAAAAAATTAATTGCTTTTATCAGTTGTCTAGTACCCATAGTAAAGCTCTGTTTAGTTTGGGACTAGATGGCGTTGTGTAATATGTGCAAGGGTATTTATTACTATATTTATTTACTAACTAGATAAACTCTCTACGCTATTGAGGTAATAAGTAATTTCTTCAATTCTAGTCTTTTTAAAGTATTTTGATATTATCATAATTAAAAGCGTTAGGTATTTGAATATTGTCATTTTGTACATTTGTATTTCCACTATACGTTGTATACACTATTGTTTTTATTACATTATATCTCAATATACTTACCATTTTATCATATGCAATGTTTATATCTAAATCCTTTATGTATGTTAATAATAAACGTGTACATAACATTAGCCATACAGCATGTCGATATGTGTATAACTTGAAATCTTCTAACATATTTATATGTATTTATTTTTCTTGTATATGTACAATAATTTGTTGTAAAGAAGTAACGACCGTATTTCAAGTTATAAGGCAGTTGTTCGTATTGTTTACATGCTGTTTTCACAATGTATCACCAACTATATAACACCAGTTACAGTTACTGATTATTTATTTATCTGTAGACATAATATTGGAATGTATATTCTTATAGTATACCCGCTTAAATCTAGATATTATTAGCCCACCTAGAGATAAAATATTTTGTGATTATTCGCAGATTAGAGGAAATATTTTTTCATTATAGTGCTGATTGTTATAATCTGCCAAGGGGTCACAGTCCGATTATAGGAAGACAGGGGCTGTTGGCTCTTTGTCAGAACATTAGTATATTCACATTAGGCATGTAGTGATGCACATGCCGACGGTAATATCCTAGGATTTTGAAGAGGCTTTCGATATGTAAACTGGCGAGTGAAGAAATCTAGCTACACATTTGCCGAGTCAAATGCATGATCTTAGCTACCTAACTTCATTTTAGAAAAAGTTTACAACGATCTAAACATACTAAACACTGAATATTACAACTACCCAGAACATCTATTCCTGACTGCGAGAGCTGACTCCATATGAAATAGATACAGGTGAAACTAAGAGTGTGTGTGAGAGAAAAAAAAGAAAGACTTGATTTTTTAAATATTATACCTATTAGAGGCAACACGTTAATTGGACATTTAGCACTTGAAATATGAGAATTTGAATCAACAATATTTGGATGGCTTGATTTTTTCACTTGTCTGGACAAAGCATAGTATTATTACTATTGCAGTGACAAAGTTTTCCTAATAATTTACCACCTTAAAAATAATAGAAAATTAAGTATTATACCAAATTTATTTCTAACCAACATATTCATGGATTAGTAATTTATGGATTTTTACCGCTAATATGTATGTTAACATAGTGTTAGCATTGGCGTGATACGATAAATAAATAATATTGCTTAATTTTCTGAAATATAACTGTGGTTGATGTAATGTTATTATACCATATAATAGATAGGTACAAAAATCTCATCGTCTCTAAAAAAAAATACAAAAATATGTCTTTAAGATTCAGTCAATGCAAAGCATTTTATAATATTGCGATGACAATTACTAACGTGCACTTTGCGTGTTATTTTTAGGTGGACCAGACCTGTTAATAACATGCTAATACAAAATTTTTGTAGGAAAACATTATATCATCTGGCATAACCACAAGTTTATAATTTATTATTCCTATAATTATTGCTCAATTATGTTTTATATAATTATAATGAAACTATTTAGATTGGTTTAGCAAGTTTATATATATGCCTTTAGGTTATCTAGTTAGTACATTAAATATGACCGCAAGACTTTTGTATAGTTTCGTATTATCAGTACATATATATATTCTTTTTTAATTTTTCTATAAATGTGATGTTTTGTAATGTTTTTTATTGAACCCTCTCAAGTATCTACCATGTAGTTTACAATATCAATGTTAATTTATATTTGGTTTTCAACTACTTCTGCATTTTGTTATGAAACTGATATTTATTGTTCGTTCTATGACACCATGTTTCACTTTCTTTTCCATACGATACATTGTTGACGAGTATTGTTGTCGAACCAAACTAATATAGTACAATCAGTGTATCGATGAAATGACAAAAATTTACATTGATATAACAATTTTTTTTAAATCTTAGATTTTTTAATAAATGGTACATGAGAGGTTCAGTATTGAAATATCACTGTATGCACTCGCCCTATTAATAAAATGAAACCTAAATTGTCAATGTTTCCCGCTACAATTTACAGATACATCGGTCGCAATTTATAAACTTGTATATTATGAACATTATTATTGTTATATTATAATTCTATTAAAAAAGTATTTCAGTACACGAACTCAATTGCGTATAATCTTTGCGATTCGTACTGTACGTGGCGATCTTCTTAATGGACATCAAATTTTATTTTTAGACGCTATTGCTACTGCAAATAAAGATAAGAACTGACAGTATCTACTAATGGCGTTGTTTTGTATGGAATTCGTATCTTATATTACCCTATTTCCTAGCAATTAAAAGAAATCATTAGCAATATTGGGTAACTTAATTAGAATTGGTTTCGTTTGTCACTTGTGAACTCATCTAAGACATGTCGTCCAATAATGTCATTGATCAATGAAATTCATATATAAAAATAAATTATTTTTAATATTATCAGTTTTAAATATTACAAACGACAGTATTATTAAAATCTAGGAAATGGGTAATATATCGTTTGTAACTTGGACTACTTTTTTTAATGGCTCTAATTAATTTTACCTTTAATAGTTTTTAATTAATTTTACTTTTTTGTGTGTATATAATGGTTTATCGAAGTGGGATCTCATGTTTTCCTTCTAAGTACCTATTTATGATATTACGTCGAAGTTTATTTTTTCTGTGTATCAACTTAGTATGCTAGTTTAATTATAGTTACCATTACTTCTAGTTATTATTATATTTTGCTCCCATCGTTTTTATATGATCTAATTACCAAAAGACTGTCAAATGATTAGTAACATTCGCATTATACTTCTAATAAATATGAAATTGTATAAATAAAAAACAATACTGTCGATAGATTTTCGTTACACACAGCTAAGAATTATCCTTCTAATAATAATAAATAAATAAAGATCATATTTTAAATACACTGTCAGGACTTCTGAATTTTTTTTTTTTTTTTGCAGGTAAACAGTACCTATATATCTGCTTCTTTATTGCCTACGAACGTCGATTAAATCTCGATAAGTGTATGTAAAATATGTGTAAACATTGCGAAAGAATGATAATCGTAAAAAATACCTCTGACCCAAAATAAAATAAATATTCTATTTTATTTTGATATACATGTTAATTATTGATTTTCGACGCTCGACTGTCTTTATTATATAATTATGTTTATACTATACATATGGGAAGCAAAATATACGAGTTTTCAAGTGTGTAATAAATATTAAGATGTTGGAAATAAATCTACAAGTAAAAAACCTACCACCTAGACAAGTGACATACTTTGTTGCATTTATTGCTATGTATAATTGTTACTATCGTAAATAAGAAGAAGAAGGAGACAGCATCGTCCTACGCCTTGTTCGCGTTACGCATTAACGAAAATGTATCTATCGTTAAATGTCACTTGTTTAGAGGAACAGAGCCGCATTCTTATTATGATTTATTTTTCTATTTAAACGCACTAGGAGGGGAGGGGGTTAAGTCCCGTTTTATGAATTGTAATACAACATAATCATTTCGCATAATTTTCCGAATAAAATATTAATTTCGCGCTGATGACTTAATATTAGCATAGTTCCATCATCAATTTGTTAAGCAGGTTATAAAAAATAAGTTGTATTATAATTTGTGAAAATCCGGTTTTTGAACCCCTTGACGTCCACTATTATGTTTAACAATTCCTTTTATTGTCTATATATATTTTACAGGAATAACAATGATATTAAATTTTGTCTATTATTACTATAATCAACATGAGGTTTAATACTCCTATCTATATTATACCAAGTATGTTATGTTTATTTATATAAAAACTGCAATATTTTTAGCTGGTATAACATAAATACAAAGTATGATGATGTGTAAAGGGATTACAGACGACACATTATTATATGCCAATGAAAAATAAAATGCATTTCACGAATAATACCTTTGGATTATATAAATTTAATTGCACTTTATATTCTTTAAAAAAAAGGATTAGAAGGATTAATTTAAAAAGTCCAAAAGTTATGTTGATTTTTTGTTTAGTCCAAGGGCCACCAACGATTATTTTTGTGAAACGCACTTTTACAAAAACGCGTACAATTTATATCAACCTACTACTAGAATACCTAATAATATACCTATTAATATTTATATATTAAAATATTGCAGCTGACATTTTCATTGCACAATTGGACGCTTGGTTATTAGAAAAAAATCTATGTGCAGTTTTACCAACAAATTTGTAACACGTGTGAACCATACTATATTATTTAACGCCGAAAATCAATAGAATGTGTTCAAACACTGTTTGTTGGCTGTACGTATTTAAGAATACTGTAGATTAGTACTAAGCAGTATTTAACCACCAATTGTGAGCAATGAGGATTTCTACCGATTGCACATTTTTGGGGTATCGCCTAAACATTCGTGTATTAAAATATTTATAAAACCGGATCTAGGAGTAACATAAAGCCATACAGTAATGTAACCCGATGATATTATAACCACCATGAGCTAAGCCATGCAAATATCATTAGCATTGCTTAATTTCTTTCCTCATTTTTTATAGTTCCTAGCTCTATTTTCATATTTTGTAGATATTAATAAAGACGTATTTGCTTCGCTAAACAAAATCTTTACTTAGTAATTATTGCTATATAAGTACATATAAATTAATATAATAACTGGGGATTTTCGAAAACATTGCTTATTATTAAAAACTCCGTTATAAGTTCTGCATTCGTTTAGTGTTTTATAATCTTTATTAATATCGACTAAATTTCAGGTTAAATATTATAAGTAACATAAGTGAATATGTTTTTGAGCATGTATTTAGAATGTATTTTGTTTTAATTAATGTATAAGTAACCTATTTATATTATCTTCTTTTTTTATTTTGTATATACGGGTATAATTACTTTTATTGTTTAATATATAACAAGAAACCCGATTAAAAAATAAAGAACGTTGCGTTTTTATGTTGATCACTGTGATATAATAGGTACAACACGATTACTCTTAGATCCGTGACAATCGACGATGGTATTGATGTAACCGTTGGCAGTAGGTTGTTAACTGACGTAAGCGGTGTAAAAGAATGCTTGGCGTGCTTGACAAATTCTTACCAACATGTGATAAATATTATTGAATCATTCTAAATAAACGGGAAAGTGTTAACATTGTTTCATTTATATTTTTTTCTTCTTTTTTTTTATAATACAGGGCAAACAAGCATGCGATACAGCTTACCTGATGGTAAGTGACTACCACCGCCCATCAGCACATTGCAGGTGCATCGCAACACCAGAGACATTGCAGGTGTGCTACCAACCTTTTAAAAAGAAATATGCTCTTGAACGTTACGGTATCGGTTCGGAAATACTGCTGCTGGAAGTTAATTCCAAATCGTGGTTGTGCATTGGAAAAAAGTGTCTTGAAAACTTTTTATTTCCTTTTTAGTGGTTTATAATCCTGACGCCAGTAAGGCAGTATAAATTAATACGAATTATACAACCAGTAATCATGACTTCCAACTAGCTGATTCTAAAACGCTTGTTACCTACTAATTTTTGAAATTTGGTATTTAGTGAATTTGGACATAAAAAAATTTAATTAACTCCCTTGATGATAAACATTTTTAACAAGCCCATGTTTACCGAAAGAAGACTGTAAAATCACCTTGTATCAAATTGAAACCGAAGCGATGAGTGTTTCAATGTGATAGAACAGTTCACAGAAATTTATGATTACCCCATCCAAGATCCCACTTAGCTTCATTATACAAACAACCGAATCGTAAGTAGCAGCGTCCCCAATTGCGAATTACCAATCAAAATATTGCAAATATAAACCACAAAGGGAACTGTCTATGTCCCTTGAACAAGTTAATCGTAACCTCTGGAGACTAGATGACGATTGACGTCACAGAGTTAACAATCCGACTTTATGACAAAGTACGAGGAAAACGTTTACGTTCTACTGTAGGGAAATTTTAATGGACGATAATGGAATGGTAACCTCGCCTGCGCTATCAATGTACATTGTCAGGGCACCAAAACGGATGA